GAAGGACGACGAGCCGGAGGTCAAGAAGGAGGAGGATCCGGATTCCGAGACGGCAGAAGACAGCGAGAGCTCGGTCGAAGACGACGAAGGGCCATACGAGTGCCCCCACTGCAAAGCTATGATGCCGAAACAGACGGAAGATTGCCCCTTTTGCGACGAGTACATCAACTGGTGCGAATGGTGCCTTCTTCCGATGCTCAACACGAAAGACTGCCCTCGCTGCGATTCTTGGTGGAACAAGCGGTACTGGGAACCTTGCGACGGCTGCGACAGGATGCGCGATCCTAACTCTCCCTGTCGCCGTTGCGAAGGGGGCTCAGAGGAGGATGACGAGTCGGAGGAGGATGGAGAGTCAGAGGATGAAGGGTCGGTGGAAGACTATTAGGCCACGCTGAAGGAGAACCCCATTGCGGCGACGATCCATTAGCGCAGATTGCGGGTCGCAATCGACCTTGTCTGCAAGCCTTTCATTCACTCGCATGTTCGAGGCAACAAGGCATTTTAGCGATCTGTATCCTTTCTCCGGGATGTAGCCATTGCTTTCATTCACAGCGACTGTGAGTATCGTGCACATGTCGGCGTGAAGGAATGCGAGAGGATGATAGGCGGTGCACTCTTGAACAGCGCGGGTTGGGGGCGCGAAACCTCGAAAATGTTAGATCGTTGACGAAGGTTGGTCTGGGCTGGGGGGGAGTTCTGGACGCGGGGCGCGCGTTGTTGTTCGGAAAAGCCTCCACCTTCAGAAGGCCTTTCAAGAGCTTTTGGCTGCACCACCATCTCGATCTTGACCTCGGATCAACATGACTAGCCACAGCCCGGCTGGCGGGGTGCACCCTGTGCTCGCGCTCGTAAACCGGTGCGACGAGCTCGCGCGCACGTTCGATTCGACCTTCGAAGCGTCGTGCAACCTGCTTCGTCAACCCACAGGCACTCTCGACGACACGCTGGCGGCATTGCGATCAACACTCGACCAGTGCGAGCAGATTGTCGGTGCCATGCTCGCCTGCATCTACGAAGACATCCCCCACCTGCTTGATCAGCTCGACTCCAACGACCACCTCGTCGCAAATTGGAATCCCAAACTCGCCCTCGAAAGCATCAGCTCCCTCTTCTACGTAAGCCCTCCAAAACCCCCCTTCACCATCCTCAAAATCAACCACCGCTGACTTTTTTTCGACTGACCTCGAAACACAGTCGTATCAAGAATTGTTGTTGGAAAAGCGAGAGCTACTCGCCGACTTTACATGCGAGGAAATCAGCCCCCAGTCCTTCGTGCAGCAATGGACCCAGATCGACAGAACCCTCTCGACACAACGCCAGCAACAGGTCGACGACCTCGCCGATCTCCTAGCAGCCTTCTAGTCCCCCGCAAACAATCGAGAAAAACAAATCGTCATTTCGCAAAAACCCACACGCTGCTAAACTACGACCGGGGCAACTACATGTACGCGTTGATGGCGTCGACGAGCTCGGCGCCTGCCTTGGCAAAGTCGACGGGGGCGGCGCGCGAGATGGTGTAGCGCACGCGCGCCTGGTCGTTGAAGCTGTCCATCTTGGCGCGGCAGTTGAAGGTGTACATGCGGTTGGCGGCGCGGTGGAGCACGGCGGTGAATTCCGACTCGCTCTCCTCGCGCAGCTTGTGCAGCTCGCCCGCCGACATGCCCATGAGCTTGGTGGCATCGTCGTTGAACCCCGACAGCCAAATCTGTCCCGTCGCATCCGCCACATTGGTCGACAGGATGTACCGGTACTCGGGCTGCTCGTACGAGCGGTCGCACTTTTCGCAGCGCCAGTTGCCCTCGTGGTCCGGCGTGACCTTTTTGTTGCATCCGTCCGAAGGGCAGGCGGTGTAGTACAGGTTCTCCTGCTTGATGTACACCACCGTCGCGCGCACGTTGAAGTAGTCCGGCTTCTCGGTCATGCCCAGATTCTGGTCCTTGACCTGGGCGATCGTCCTGCGCTCCGCCATGTTGGCCGCACCGCCACCCATCGCTCCGCCCGCTCCACCGCCGTTGGTGAACGGCTGGAACTGCGCATGCGCGCCGTCGTTGTCGAACCATCCGCGCAGCACGTGCGACTCGGTAATGTCCGGGTTGATGAGCATGGTCGAGCTCGAAAACATGCTGAGCGAGCGTCCGCCAAAGTCGCCCACCTTGACGCCCTTGAAGGCGATCACCGGCTTCTCGTCGACGCCGGCGTGGTTGGGGAAGTTCTCGGCGTTCTTGCCCCACAGCGTCAGCCGCACACTGCGCTGGCCCTGGTCCACCAGCGTCAGCTCGCGCTTCTGCACCGGTCGCTGCGACGCCTTGCTGACAATCTCGCTCAGCTCGCCGTAGCTGTCCAGCACACCGATCACGTCGCACGTCTGGTTGGGCTCCACGCTCTCCAGCTCGTTGATGCGCACAAACTCGTACTTGACCTCGGGCACGTCCGTGGCGTCGGTGCACTCCTCGATCTCGGTCGAGTTTTCAAAGGTGATCTCGTACTCGTTCTGCAGGTTGCTGAACTGCTTCTTGGCAATGTTGACGCGCGCCTTGGAGATGAGGTAGACGTGGTTCTCCTGCAGCATCGAGTAGAAGCGGTCGACGGCGTCGTTGAAGCCCGTCGCCTTGATCTCGCCGCTGTCGTCGAGCAGGTTGACCGAGAAGAGCTTGCCCTCGCCGCGCTGGTTCGACCAGTGGCGGATGTCCGACTTGGACGTCACGCGCGCCTTGATGGTCCATCGGTTCTGGTAGGGCGACAGACCCTCGATCGGGTAGATGGGCATGCCTGCGTGGACGCTGCTGCCACCAGGCCGGCCTGCGGCGCCGCCGCCGACCTTGCCGGCACCGGCGGCCGAGGTGGCGGGCGTCGTCCTGCCAGCCGAGTTGTTGCCGACGTTGCTGTTTCCGAGCGCGCCACCAGCACCGCCCTCCTGCTTGACGCCGCCCTCGGGCTTGATGGAGTCGTCGACGTTGGTCGGGCTGCCAATGCGGTCGGCGGTGGGCGGGTGAACGACGCTGAGGTCGAGCAGGATGAGGATGCGTCGGCCTTGCACCGAGTTGCTGGCGTACTGCGAGATACGCACAAGGCAGTGCTTCTCGAGCTCGCCCGACTCGACCATGGATCGCTTCTGCGAGGCGAGCATGGCCTGGGCGTACTTGACGCCGTCCGAGAGGATGATGCGGTAGCGGTCGCCCATGCTAGAAGCGGACGCGGCGCTGGCCTGGATCTTCTTGATGCTGAGGATCTGGCATACGGGGTTCTGCACCGAGTTCGAAGGATCGGCGGTCTGGACCATCTGGGCGATGGCGCCCTGGGTGAGATCGTTGAGCGACATCGTGGGTAGTCAAGGCACCGCGATGTGGTGGCGTCCGAAGGAAGTGTGTGTGGGGAGAACGGCGAGTGGGCGTTGACTGCTCGTGGTCCGCACTGCAATTCGGTGTTGCCTATGAGTCGTCTTTGGAGAGTGTTATCGTCCAAGCGAGATCCTGGTCTGGTGGAAGCGATACCGGAGGATGGTGAATCGGAGGTAGGTATCGAGAAGAGCGAGAGCGAGCTTGACAACTCCACTTCTTCTGCTCCGCACGTCGTGGCTGAGTCGCGTTTCCGCACTGCACTCCAGCAACTTCAGAGCTCCGCCAACTGGGCTCAGCGCGCCAACGACCCGCCCTGCTGCGCTCGAAAAAGCGGGCACATCACTTTCGCTCATTTACGCGCGCGACGCGTTGCCGTCCGCAGCTCTGCGCATGGAGACCAACACCTCTTGACTCGTGCGACAGTCATGGATCCCCTTTGCCATGTTGTAGACCACGCGCTAACACTGCAAAATTTCGATGTTCGTTCCCCCGGCCAGTTCCGCTTCTGACATGCCCGTTTTGTCAGCTGCAACGGTGGCAACATCCCCTGCCTCGCCATAGCCT